TCTTCCAAATCGTCTGTTGCTGCTTGGCAATTAATAACAAAAATGCTTCGATGATTGGAAAAAGTGCTGGCACAAGTGTATTATATCTAACGGGGATCACTTTGAAGGGACAACATAAATATTAACCAATAAATAAATATTTTTTGAGAAAACCATAAAGTCACCTTACTTTTTGAACACCCCTCGTATTGTGTCGTTAGTGTAAAATTTCCGTTTGTTCTTTTTATATCGTGGCGTTAGCATTAAGTGCGCGCTGATTTGTTACTATTTGGTAAAATTTAAGTATTTATATTTGCTAATAGGTTAACTCTAACAGACATTCTTCCACTCAAAATTCATTGAAACTCTATCAGCGAGTATTATATAAATCTTAGTATCTCAACGCGTGGACTTGACTAAAAAAAAGGAAATAGGTAGTTGGTGCGAATAATAAATTGATGTATTTCTTTACAAACTATTGATATTTATTAAAATTAAACTATCAACTACCGTTCAGCCGGAATAAAACCCCCCGTCTTAGTTTGGGGAAAAAGTCATCGAACAAATAGTTGTTACAATTAACACTCGAAAACAATCTTTCTAAATTGATACACTTTTATGATTTGTGATTTACAATTATTAACTCGGTAATGTTCACGGTAATGTATGATTATTTCCCTATTATTATAAAATATAAACAAAATAATCTCTCTATCAGTATCATTAACTAAAAATACAAATGCAACGAAGCTAACTGGCAAAAATACAACTAGTTTTAAAGAAGTAAAGAAAAAAATTTTAAAGTTGCAGAATCCTAATAAACACAATGGAAATATTAATAACATCGATGTCAATTTTTCCGAAATGATCCTTCGTGCAGTCAACCAGAGCATCCCCCGACCCAAAGAAATGTTTCGTAATAAACGTATCTTTTGATAGATGAAGACTATAACAAAGCTATTAAAGAATCTAAAACAGCATTATACAAATCCAAAATAATAATATTAAAGTAAATAAAATAAAATTAAAAAAAAAACCCTATTAAAAAAGTTTTAGACCAAATCAAAAGAATCGATGGAAAAAATTATTCATCTATTTCAGTACTTCTCAAAAATAATCTAATCGTAAATAATTCGGAAGATATAGCTAATAACACTAGCAAATAAATTCGCCAAAAACTCTAGTTACCTTAACTACACCGCCGAATTTTTAACACATAAAGAAATCTAAAACTAGAGAAGACTTATCGAAAATTATTGAACACTATTATAATGATTGAATAACCATGTTCTAGCATCTTGGAATCATCAGTGATGAAGCAGATATTTGTTTGACTCATTGTTGTTGATAACAGTTTTGGTTTTCATTCCGACATCAAGGACTGTTGATACCTTGAATCTAAAACTTCTTTAGATTTGGCCATGCTCTTATTGTAGTTTGTTGTTGAATACTTTGCGGTTTATTAATGACGTTATCTGGGATTAGAAGTTCCTACATTGTTACTCGCAACATTGGCCAAATATAGCCTTGTATTTTTCTTCATCCAGTACAAGTTTTAAGAAGAAACAAAGTGTTTAACAACATTGCCGCGATATCATTAGTATATGCAGTTGACTACACCATCATCAGGGTGCGCCTCCTCTAAGGTAATTTTGACTCCCTAACCAAAGCCTTCGGGGATAGAGCGTTGAAACCGCTTAATTATAGAAGTCGATGCATTGACTCGTTCAGTTCAGTTATTCTGATTCAGTCATCAGTATAATACTGTTTCTTTTTGCAATTAATGATTTTACAAGCTACATTTCAAATTCGGTGTAATATATTATATTTTTATGACGACGCAACGCTATTTGTTTTTTAAAGAAAAAATATCTAAAAGTGAAACGTTGATACAAGAAACACTGAATAAAATCTCAGAATTCGCCAATAAATCAGCTTCAAATTCTCTAACAAATAACAAAGAATTGTTTTCTCTAACAAGAAAAATACTATTATAAAATAGAACTAAATATTCCGAATGACCCAATCTAAATAGTAAGAGAAATCAAAATCACAGGCTTAATCTCCGACTCACAACTCTCGTGATGATTAAACATATTGAAAATCTTATCCGCTAGAAACTGGGAAGCTAGCCAATAAATTTTAATTATCACTTTCAAAGCAGTTATTTAAGGTAAAAAAAAAGTTATCCATTGAAAGGAATGTACTTCCACTTAACCTAAGAAAAAAAACTGACAACAAACTATTTATTAAAACTGATCTTTGACGAAGATCAAAACCACAAATTAATGCGTGCAGCTATAAATAAAAGAAATCGTAAAATCTAAACAAGAAATTTAAAAAATTCTTAAAACTCCATTTTATTAAAAAGCTATCTCATTATTGAACAAAAACGATATTAAACCAGATAATATAATATCAGCTACGATCTAACATAGATCAAAAATAAAACATACTGCACAAACCCACCTTATAGCTAAATCTGCTTTTCCATTACATCACACGGAACAGCAATTCTCTGTATAGTGCAGTTATGTGACAAAAAAAATACTCCTAAAGTGTCCAGTAAGGTTAAGCGTACACAGAGCAATAGCAAGATTCATACTGGATACGATAAATTATTTATCCGACTCATCCGAAAATCACATATTTTTCTTTGACTCTCCAACTCTCACAGAAAAATTATAAAATGCCAACACTACAAATTTCGGAATTGCAAAATAAATTTGGTACAAACTGTTTCTAATAAGAAAACTATTAACATCTGCCATAAGAAAATACCGTAATCAATCGCTAACCAAACCAAAGAACTTTATAAATTAGCTACAAAATTACATCTTGACAATTGTATAAAGAAGAGATTAAGAACATCATCGGTAAAGTCATAAAAATACAATAGAACAAGACATGGGAAAAATACCCGAGCAGATATAATATAAAAATAATTAGACTGAACACAAGTGACTACATCCTTTTACATAAACGCGCTTTCAATATAAGAAAAAAAATTATATTAACTAGACTGCGCATTGAACACGCAAGAATCGCCCACAAGCACCTTCTCCAAAAAACAACACTCAACATCTGCGAAAAGTACAGAAAAGTATTAACCGTGAGACATATTTTATGAGACTGTTCAGTGTCCAACCTTCATCGTAAGAAGAAAAAATTTTCAACTGATGTGAACAACTTATACGATGTAGTCAACAGCAAAGAATAATATGTATGTCTTGAAATTTCTTGAAGGAATTAAATACAATAACCTCTTCTAACCTCATCCTATGCTATAACACAATAAACAATGGATCTCAACAAACAAATAAATATGTAAGATTGCGCCGACAATCTTTAACCTTATATCTGTATATTTACATATATATATATATATATATATATATATATATATATATATATATATATAATTTATGTAATAATCTATTAAATACTACCACGTAAAAAAAAGTTGCAATATGTAACATGCATCATTATGTATGTAAACGTATTATAACAATAATGTAATATGACATACGAGTCGCTAATACCCACAAAAGGGATGAGACCTTAAGTAAATAAATAAATAGTATCGACTTCTACAGATTCGGCATCGCTTCAACAAACGTTGGCACGCAACGCGGGAAAAAAGAAGAATCAAATGAGCTTACGCGCTCTTGCTTATTTTGTCGCTCGTCCGCGGCCGCTAAACAAAACAGAATAAAGCGGGTTGCGCGAGGAATAATAGAGACCTGCGTAGCAATAGGTTAGCTAAGTTATCGGAACAAGTTAAAGAACAGAAAAAAATAGTAGGTGAAAAATAAGAAGAAAAAAAAATAAAGCGGAAGAGGTGGCGATCGACCGATGATTTACGGCGCCTCGATGGGATAGCTGCCAATTTTTCCGCAGTTACGCTGAGTCCGTAACTTTCCGACCGGTTTTAGGCAAGCGTCTAGTTCACCCCGGTTATTTGCTACCCTTAATTCCCGAACACTTTCTCTCTTTTCAACGCCTGCATCGTCTTTTATTACTTTGTCTTTTCGAGATAGAGTTCTTGCGCATTTTATTATCGTCGACGTTTTTCTTATCGTAATTTCTCTTCTTTTATCCTTTTTTTTTGCTTTTTGACTATGCTTTCCTGTTTTCTCCAGCTATGTTTGTCTGCAATTTTATCTTCGCTTCTATCAACATGTGCAAAAACTAATTTATTGGTGAATACAGTCAAAACTGAGCAAAATGATGTATCTGATTCCGAGGAAATGAATCTGAGTCGATTCACGTAACTACAATGACAGTATTATTACAAATTATACTAAAATTTTGCGTGTGCTGTAATGTAGAAAATCAATGGATATGTCGGCTGTCGAGTAGTACGAGTACACGTATAGCGAGTCGCTTGCATCCGTCAAGTAACGCGTACGTGGAAGCTTCCAGTTACGGAAGTTCTGGCACTCTTGCAAGGATGCACAACTTGGGCTTGTCTATAACTAGTTCTTGCATCAGAAACCGTCGCGAGTCGATAACTTTCGGTGGCCTGGTTGCTACTACGTCATTAGTGCCCACAGTCATTGTTACACAAGAATGCTAATGTCGAACTTTCGACTAATGTCGAAATATTACGTCAACTTTATCTCAATAGTCTAACAAATACTAACAATTCAATGGGAATGTTACAAGGTTCGAGAATTTCATTTTGATCTTACGACAGCTCTTAATAAAATAGAGTTATTGTAAGCTATCAATCGCACCCGCTGGCTTTATGAATATGTGCTATAAGCTACTACTTTTAAGAATCTGTCAAGATAAATTTTCTAAGATTGTAATTCACACATCCCTTACCTACTAAATGAAAACGTTTCTGAACAAATGCTTTCTCAACAAATTTTATGATAATTTTGAGGACATGAGCGATGAGTATTATTTAATAATTATTGAAAAATCGCATTTTCTAAATAATTGAACACGTAGTTTTCAAAATCATCGAGTAATCTGATTATTAACACGAAACAATTTTGTCTTATCGGACTCACCTTCTAAAACTTTGTAGCAGCTAATATTTTTTGGATACTGATTGGGATATCCTGGACTATAAAACTCACGTCTAACTTTATCTCCCTCACTGAATTTTATACATGGATTTTCTTCTTTATCCTCCCTTTTACGTCGCTGATTTTGATCTGTATCATCTAAAGAAATATTTTGTACGGTAGTTTCCGACGTGTGCGATGCCTACGGAAAAAATATAAAGGCTCATTAATTATAGTAGCAGTTGTCAATATTATCAATTGATTTTTGTCTTATATGAAGTTTATGCCTGAGGGAAGTACATTTTAGAAAATATATACGAGGTGTGTTCAAAAAGTAACGAGAATTTTTAAATTTCGCGGGTTTGGAGAGTCCGCTTGTATAAAATTTTTTTTTATTATGTTGGTACACATGCCCCTGAAGTACGATAAAATTTTCAGCAATATTCATTGCTTACTTTTTAAGTGGCAGCCGCTAACGTTAGACGTATTTTTCGAGCTCGGCGATTTTCGTTTGTGAAAAAAATGGATCAAAGAATTTGTATTAAATTTTGCGTAAAAAATGAAATAAAGTGTAGTAAAGTTTGTCAAATGTTAACAAAGGCATATAGTGAGTCTGCTATGAGTAAAGCAAGGATTTATGAGTGGTATAAGCGTTTCCAAGATGGCCACGAAAACGTTGAAGATGACGAACGACCCGGACGCCCAAGCACATCAACAACTGATGAAAACGTGAAAAAAGTGAAAGAAATGGTTATGAACGATCGCCGAATCACAATCAGAGAAGTCGCTGATGATGTTGGCATATCAGTTGGCTCATGCCATCAAATTTTTTCGAATGTTTTGGGTATGAAACGTGTGGCAGCAAAATTCGTTCCAAAATTGTTGAATTTCGAACAAAAACAGCGGCGAATGGAAGTTGCTCAGGAGTCGCTAAATAAAGTCAATAACGATGCAGAACTACTAAAACGTGTTATAACAGGTGACGAAACATGGGTTTACGGATATGATGTCGAAACTAAGGCTCAATCGTCCCAGTGGAGGCATTCTGGATCGCCGACACCGAAAAAGGCTCGACAAGTGCGGTCGAATGTGAAGGTTATGCTCACTGTGTTCTTCGATTTTAATGGCATAGTGCATTATGAATTCTTGCCACAAGGTCAAACAATCAATAAGCAGTACTACCTACAAGTTCAACGTCGTTTGCGTGAAGCAATCCGAAAAAAACGCCCGGATTTGTGGCAAAACAATTCATGGCTTTTGCACCACGATAATGCGCCTGCTCACACTTCATAGCTTGTTCGTGAATTTTTGGCCAAAAACGAAACTGTAACGATGCCTCAGCCTCCATATTCGCCAGATATGGCTCCATGTGACTTTTTTCTATTTCCAAAAATAAAGAGAACATTAAAAGGCCGTCGTTTTACAAGCATAGATGACATTAAAAGCGAATCGCTGAAAGAGCTAAAAGCTATTACAAAGATCGAGTTTCAAAAGTGTTTCGAGGATTGGAAAAAGCGTTGGCATAAGTGTATTGTATCCGAAGGGGACTACTTTGAAGGCGACAACATTAATGTAGATGAATAAATAAATATTTTTTTCATAAAACGAAAATTCTCGTTATTTTTTGAACACACCTCGTATATTCAATTTTTTCGTATATTAAATATAAAATTCTAAACAATTAATTTCCTACAAGAATTCTATTGCAGTAAAAAATTGATCAAAGAAATAAACTAGTTAATCTTCAGAATAAGATACGATTTCTGTGAATCGTTTTATTCTTGACGATCATGTGGTGTTACGAAGCTTAAAAAACTGAGTATTTTTCAAGTTATTTGTAAAACTTCCAGTTCAATTTTCACTAACATTACAAGATATATCTGGTGACATAAAAGTTGACGTTCCTGATAAAAAACGATCTACGAAGCGAAACAAAAAGTGACCGAATATGAGCCAAGGTGTACACCTTAAAGGTTACTCAAAGAAAAAAGAGCCGGTACGCTCAAGTAAGAATCGACAGGTCAAGCAACGCTTAGTTAGGCAAAGTGTAGAACAAGATTGGAAGACTAAAATGTATGGATGCGCCGAATCGATAAGGATAGGATGTAGTATGACCGCGAGTGAGCAAAGTTAAATTGGCCAAAGTGCAGAACAAGATTTGAAAGCCGCAAGACGCGGTGTTGTGCACTTACCTCGGCCGTAGACGCGTAGCGCTGGCGAAAGCTCGGTGGGTCCAGCAGGAATGGAACTCGATTTGAGCTGGACGCAGCGAGATGAGTGTGAGCCGCTGAGGCGACGAAAGGCAAACCGTCGCGCTGTGTCCCGGGGGAGCCGCGGATCGCGACCCCGTCCAATTGGCTGCTACTGCTCTCGGCCGACATGGCTCTCGCGCTGTTGCTGGCGTTTCCTGCGAACAAAAACATTTTTCCTTCGTTAGTTTCTTTTCAAACACACGAGAAAGAGAGTGGGAGAGTTCAGCCCCTCCTTACAATTCATATTCTCTTTGAGGCTTTTCACTTGCCAACACCAACAATTCCATCTCGTGGCTAGCTCGTTCGCATTTTTTCCTTACTAGCTGCCTTGGTAAGCGTCAGCCCGGTAAATATTTGAAGAAACGTTGCATATTCTATTCATCTTTCTCCCGGTTATATTCTTACAAACGCTTGCTATTCGTGAAATTTTATTTAGAGTTAAGACAAAAAGTATAAAACACTAATATTTGCCATTGATGTATATTCAAGTTTTCTATTCAGAGCTATACACTAGACTGATATATGATTTTGACTCAGGTTATTTTATCATTCAATTAAAATTAACACGCATATGCTGTACAACATAATACTTATATTTTAATTACACTGATAAAATGTCTACGCTTTGAGCAACGTCGAGAAATCGTGTCAAAATGTGTGATATACTACCAAAGCAACTAAAGTACTTTTACAAATAAAACAAAGAAATCATGCTCGAGAAGAGCAGAAAATTTTGGCTGTTCAGTTGCCTGTTCACATGATCGATTCCAATGATAAAAGAATCGCAAGACATTATAGAGAAAAGATTCGACCAAAAACTCGGTACGTACGAAAAATGTCGGAACGAAAAGTCGTTATTTATGATGTAGAAGTTACATGTTGTATTGAGTATTGTGGGAGCTACAAATGTGTTTAGATATCTGGAAGAAATGACGTTAGGAAGTATTAAATTTCAGACAGATTTTGCGATACACTCCCCTTTGGTATCGATATGATATTTTATGCCTTCAAACATGGTTAAGGTGTCTGTTACTTATAGATTGAAAGGAGCGATGCAGCGTTGATAGTATTGCCAAAGAATCAGTCGACGATCAAAAACCTACGTGAGCGCGTTTTCTATGGCCTTCTCTATTTTACAACGTACACTGTACATAAAAAAGGCTTCCGATCAATATGTGGATGGTCATAGATGCGTGAGTAAAACTATTTGCATTTTTTCTATCCTTTTTTCTCGTCGTCGGGCGTCCCTTTATCTACGTCTCGCTTATCAAAATAAAAATACATTTTTAAAAACGCCCTGCCGGTAAAAAAGATTTTTATTTTCCAGTTGGTCGGACCCCCATACACACGCGAATGATCGACAGACTGATGCTATCCACTGCACATTTTACCGTGAACACAAATCTAATATAGGCTCGGCGTACAGTCCAGAAAAAATCTGCTGTGATGAATGGCAGATGAGAGAGCTTTTTGTTCCGATAGCCGTCCCTGACGGGCGTTCCAATTTGAAATTTTTTAGGAAAGTCCAGTGACCATGACGTGACTTACATTCAGTTGTGATTTATTTCAAGAGCTCTTATCGTGGTCTGTTTAAGCAAGAGTAAGTATTAACATTTTTAAGCACTATTCCTAAAGAACACAGAGCATTTAAGTATTTGCGCTGTTTAACCGAAATGAAATGGTTTTCGTAAAAAAAAAATGGAAAGCCTTGTTGAGAAGATTTAATAGAGTCGCGATCTACCTAAATATACCCTTTAAAACTACTTTGCGAAACAGATAGTTATTGAAAATGTGATATGCATAAAAAATTGATAAAGTCGGAACTGATAATATATAAAAGTGATACCTGGCTTCGCAACATTCTTCGTCATAAGAAAATTATCCTACGACAAGTCCTATAATTTCCTATCCAAAAACATTCACTAAGTTCTCTAGACTTTTTTGGTCTTCGTATATATTGTCTCTGCGTAGGACAAATGTTACTTATACAGTAATTGTATGTACATTGCACCAATATTACATTATATCTTTACAAATATGGAATACCACGTCGGAGTTTGTAAGAATTATATGACATAACCGTACGCTGCATGAGCTCTCCTAACGTGACTCAATTGCCTCTCAGAATTTAAAAACTAGTTATTTCAGAAGACAATTAAAATCTTTTAAAGTGCTTTATTAATCCGAACGTGCAAAATTGCTAGTGGTGACAATAGAAGTTGAAAGCCGACTTTATTTTTCTTCACTGTTTTCGTATTTCTCTTTTACTTGCTCCTACTATTTTCTAAAGAAGAAAGCTTTTATTACTACGTTTAATTAAAAAGTGAATTCTTGAAGTTAGGAATTGAAAACAATGGAATAATGAAAAATTTTATTGTCTAAAAGAAATTTCATATTATAACGAATAAAAGACAATACTTTAAAATGGGCTATTGAAAGCAAAACTGAGAGAGAGAGAGAGAGAGAGAGAGAGAGAGAGAGAGAGAGAGAGAGAGAGAGAGAGATTGTACAACAAAAAATTAATGGTATTTATGCCGTAAATGTAAAATAAACGATATATATATACATGTATAGGCAGGAATTTGCAGAAACAGCTTTCATCTTCATATCAAAAGCTGTTCATCAAGTGCCAGTAGTAAAATGTTTTGTGAAGTTTTCCCATTAGCATTCGAAAAGAGGTGCGATTATTCGAACAGCGCAGCGAAAACCGACATGGTATATCCCAGCCGAGTGCAACTTATTAGTTGAGCATTAAAAAGCTCGACGAACGATGAGAATCAAAGTGGCGATAAAACATTGGTTATATATAGAGTTCTGAAATACGTGGTGGGCCGCTACCAATCAACAAGCCCGATGTGCAAGATTAATCGAGCACTTCGACCTGCAGGATTGTCGTCAATTTGATGCATCGGTAACCGCCGTCGCTCCCCTATCTCTCTTTCTCTCTTTTTCTCCCTCAAAAAAGAACTACACTACCAGCGAAAAGAAAACCTGACGACTGTTTATCAGTACTCTGCGAATAAAGCTAATTAGTTGCGTAATCGCAGCGGGTCGTAAAGCTCTGTGCAGTTTTCCAGCGTGGACGACACGTGGAGATCCGGAAATTTGGAGCGATTTAATCGCACTAGGCGTCTGCGAGAGGCAAGGATATCTCGCTCGCAGCTCGCACAGCCCAGGCAAATAAGTTAGCGAGAGTGTCCCTTGGCCTCGTAAAGCACAAAGTTTGCCGAGCGAGGCGCTCGAGATTTTAAAGCTATCATCGCAACGCTGGGAAAATGGCGTGTTTTGGCTCGACCGTTAGCATTAAATCCTGGCCGACGTTTTCCACGATTGAAAAGCACGCTAGACATTAGTGCAATTAATACGCGTTATACTTTGAATCGCTCGGAATCTTCATGACGTGGTGACATTTCATAAAAAATATAGCTGGAGGATGTACACTGGGAGGGCTACGCGTGTGCACTTTTCAAGTATAAACGAGGTATTCGTGTTTCCAGCTGGCGAATCGGCAAAAAATGAGACGGCACTTGATGTAATGTTGATCGAGGTAAGCATGTCGCGGTAGGCGTCGGTCGTAAAAAGGACGAAGCTCGTAAAACAAGTGTGAGCTGGATGTAATTAAAGTGTGGCTGCCGGGTATATAGGTATATCGTCAACAGGCGGAGGAAAGCTGCGTGTGGTCAATGAAAAAGTAAAATTGACTCGAGCGTCTCGATACACTCGTAAAAGTATAGTTGAAAGTTTGCCAAAGAAATATAAAGCTGCCTACGGCAGCTCTCCGCGCCGTTAAATAAAGTCCACCAACTCGAAAGCGTAATCTCAAGCGTCGAAGTAGAATGAGCGATATGAGAAAGCAAGGGACACGCGAGTGCTGGCAAAGTGCTATATAGTTGAGGAGCAAGAGCGCGCGTTAACCCGAGTGCGACAGCGGCGCGAGAAAAAGGGAGACAAGAAAGCTCGCCAGAGAAAAGAGACCCGAGTAGTTGGTCGCCTTCTCGGACTGTTCAAGTTCGCCGCTGCTTGGTCTTTGTCCCAGAGCGACTGCTCGCCGTACTCTGCCACGTAGACTCAACTTACTGCAAGCGTACAAACCCCGCAACTGGCTATGTGCAAACAGTGCCTTTTCCCCACCGTCGCAATCCTTTATGCCATCTAATAACTTTCCTTGTGCACAGTGTGTTCTTAATTAGTAAGAATCATGAGTGAATGCTATTCACTCTCTCTGGCCTTAATGCAGTTCGTTACTTAAACCATGGGATTATCGATCAAAATGACAATAGAGTACTTGAAGCAGCTATAATTATACTTTTAATTTTTTTTTTCAAGGTGTTGTTAAATAAACGTCACAAGGGTACGGTTGAAGAATTCTTTAATATGTAATAATTGTATACATTAATGTGCGTTTGCATCGTCAGTGCGTTAGTGACCCAAAAAGTGTGCGGGACGACGCATACATCGCTTATTAAATAGAGGAGACTAGAGGCCTGCAATGGCTCGGTCGGTAGGGCGACGGACTCGCACCCGGTAGGCCCGGGTTCGATTCCCAGTTCCTGCTGATTGATACAAGCACCACTGAAAAAAGTTTCATGTGCTTTGTTCTCAAACACATTGCAAGCCTCCGTCGCTGATTAGCACTGATGAAGCATAAATAGAGCGACGTTAAAAATAAAAAAAAAAAAAAAAAAAAAAAAATAGAGGAGACTGTACTCGCACATCAGCACCCCATCACAATACATTAGAAAAGTTTACGCTTGTTCATGATTCTTAGACTTATAACACATCCACTTACAAGCGTAATAACATCTTAATTCCGTTGTGAACAAATACCAATCAAATTCTTTAACGCATTAAATGTTTTAAATGACAATGCTTCAGTTAAAATGTCAGCCTATTGATTTGCCCAACATATGTATTTAACAATTAACGAATCGTTATTATAACAGTCTCTTACAAATTTATATTTAATATCGATATGTTTTGTTCTACAACGGTATCCCTGATCCTTAATTAAATGAATAGCGCTTTGATTGTCTACGTATAGTACAGGTGTTTCTGAAATTGTAGCAAAAATACATTTAACAAATCGCTCTGACCATGTAATCTCTTGTGTCGCATCACGCGCAGCTAAGAATTCTAATTCTGTAGTAGAAGTTGC